AAAAAAAAAAAAAAAAAAAAAAAAAAAAAAAAAAAATTTTAAGTTTATTTACAAGAATTTTTTTTTTTAAACTTGACAAAAATTTATGAAAATTTAAAAAAAAAAAAAAATAAAAATAAAAAGATAACTAGTTTGTGTAAATTTTCACAGTTGTTTGATAAAATATAAAAAAAATTATTTCTAAAATAATAAAATTTCATTTTTTCTCCTTTTTTTTTTTTTTTTTATTTATTATCTCCACATTTTTAATCATTTAATGAAAAAAAATATGGGTTACTTAAAACTTCTTCAATTTTTAATCTTTCGCTTGGGGCCCTTAAAAAAAGGAAATTCATTTAAAATATTTAATAAAATATAAAAACTAAAATAAATTTTATAAATATATGTGTATATATAATGATATAAAATGAAATAAAATTATAAATATATAAATGTTAACCATTTTAAAAGTCCATCTATGATATTAATTAATTCTTTTTCACTAAAGAAATAAGATGTAATAATTTTAATACTTATTATGTAAAAATAAAAAAGTATTCATATAGTTAAAACTAAATACACTCAAAGTAGAAAAAAATATTTAAAAAAAAAAAAAAAAAAAATAATAAATTCGTAATTAATTTCTTTATTAATTTTCATTAATATCTATTATTTGAACTTTAGAAAAAAAAAAAAAGTAATATAGTTTTTCAATTGTTTTTTCTAAATTTTTTAATTTTAACTTTTCTTCTAAAGAGTGTTTTAGTATATTGTTCCATGATAAGGGGAGAATATTTAGTTCACACAATTCTTTAATAAGCAAATTCTTTAAGTAAAAAAAAAAAAAAAAAAAAAAAACTAAATATTATTTTTCTATTATATATTTTATTTAAAGGTTATTACATTTTTTTTGCTAGTGTAGTCTTTTATATTCTCATAGAAACTCCTTATACAATTCAAAATAAGTTACAATTATTTTTTTTTATTCGTTTTTTTTTTTTTTAATTTCTTTTAATTTTATTTACATTTTTGGAGATCCTAAAACTTCAATTATATTTATTATTTGTGAACATTCTTCTGAAAATCTTTTTAAAATATAAAATATTATAATGTTATCATATAAAAAAAAAAAAGAATAATTTAATCTATCATAAAATAATTATTTTTTTTTTAATCTCTGACTGGTCTTTTTTAAATTTTCCTGGAAATAAAGGACAAAAATTTATTAATTCAAAAATTATGCATCCCAAAGCTAAATAATTAAAAAATTAATTTTTGTTTGCAAAAAAATAAAAAAAAAAGTAATTTGTAAAAAAGAATTTAAAAAAAAATAACTAACACCATAAATCTACTTCTGTCTAAAAAAAAAAAAAAAAGGAAAAAATAATAATATAATATAAGAAATACTTAATATTTTATAAAAAAAAAAAAAAAAAATATTTTAATATAACCGTATAATACATTGAACCACATAATAATTCTGGTGCTCTATACCATCTTGAACAAATATATGGAATAGAAATAATATTATTATGAACTTTTTTTGCTGATCCTTTAAAAATTAAAAAAAAAATAAATAAATTATCTTTATATTTAAATAAAAAAAAGGTAAATGACTATTTCAATCTAAAAAAATTTTTCTTTTACCTAAATCACATATTTCTACTTGAATAGTGGATGAATCTAAATCAATCTTTAATGAAAAAATATATATAAATATATATATATATATATATATATATATATATGTGTTTAATATTTTTTCCTAATTACTAAAATATTATCTGGTTTTAAATCTCTATGTGCAAAGTTATATTTATGTAAATTTTTTAGTCCTAAACATATTTGACTAAAATATATTCAATATAAATATATATTTTCTTTATAATTTTTTTTTTTTTTTTTTTTTATTATTATTTACTATATGATAGTTTTTAAATCAGATGGTGAAATTCTAGTAGATCTAAAAAATAAAAGCAAAAAAAAAAAAAAAAATGTATTTTCTATCAGAAACCTAAATTTTTATATTTTTCAAAAGTATAACAAATTTTTATATGCATTTTTTCTTATTTTAAAATAATTTATTTATTTTATAAAATATTTTAATTTATATAATTTTACTTATTTTCTTTTTTTTCTTGTTTTTTTAATCTAATATATTTTCCCAAACTATGAGTCATATACTTAAATACAATATTCTGAATTCTAAATCCCTTTTTAGTAATTGTATAAAAAATAGACTTTATATTTACTATATTTTTACTGGAATTCATTTTTTTCAATAAATCAACTTCTCTTGAAACCTTATTTCTCCTTTTTTTTTTATATAAAGAAGAATATAGTAATAAAAAATTTCATTCAATATATTTATTTATAATTTTACATTTTCTTAATTTTTTATTTTTTAACCATTTAGGAGATCTTTTTATTGCGACTGCTTCTTGTGTACAAAGATCAACAGCTGAATAAACTTTTCCGAAAGTTCCTTTTCCAATTAATTTAATTAATCTATAACGAGGATTTTCTTTTTTAATACTTTTTACTTTATTCATTTTATTTATAGTTTTTATTATTTTTTATACATTTACGATATAATTCCTATATAAAACAAAAAAAAAGGAAAAATATTTTCAATAATATTAAAAACTTTATAAATGTAAAACAAAAATATTTTCGTTTTTAACTAATTAGTAGAATGAAATATGTTCTATATGTTATTTTTTTTTTTAAAATAGGAATAGACAGAACAAAGAAGAAGAATATAATTGAAAATGGTACAAGAAATGTTAGTTTTTTTTCTTTTTTTTTTATATATATTTCTAAAGATATATCTTATTAATATACTAAAAAAAAAAAATATAAATTTTGTACTGAAAGAGAATAATCATAAGTTGAATTGAAAAATAGGAAAATTTCATGTATGTACATAAAGCCTTAAATTTTTTTTCACTTAATTTTTTTTTTTTTTTTTTTTTTTTTTTTTTGCATAATGATGCATTTTTATTAAAAAGGAAACTAGGAAAAAATAGTGAAAACTTTGATTGATAAAAATATATTGCAAACAAAAAATGAGTTAAAATATGAAAGAGTATTAACAGAGGGTGACATAGCAGCAAAAAGGCNTTCTTTTTTCTTTTTGTTTTTCTTTTTCTTTCCCCTTTTTTTTTTTTTTTTTTTTTTT